CTTTTAGGGGGTTGGTGTGGAGTAACGCTCTATATGTGGTTCTTCCACTATTATTACTTCCACCTACCCTTTAACCATACATATACCCTACCTCTACCCCTTCCCCCTTTTTCTAGTGCCTGTTGTTCATATTCCTATTTCTAGACTTCATCTAGATAGGGATTTATCTCTGTACTATCAGAGCATCACTTTAGGACTCCCTTCTTTCAAGGGATTCCTTCTCTTTTTTCTCTTTCACTCTGTTTTGCATTGTTCCCCAAATGATTCTGCAATCAAAGAGTCTTTTCAAATTTACACAATATACAATTGTCATGGCCTTAAACATCTCTTCAAAACAATGTTGTTGGGCCAGCTTTTAAATGGTAATTTAAACCACCTTAACAACTTTGGAATGTTTATGGTACAGTGAATACCATGCACCCATCCTCATTGATAAGAGTGGCTAATAACTGCAGGAATTTGTAAAATTATACTAATTTTGTCCAGCTTGTGCATGTGGCATTTGGAGGTAGGAAGATCTCTCCCCAGAGAAAGATTTGAGCTGCAGCCACGCGCATGCACTGTCGGTGGCATTGCTACTCACTGTATGGTCCACAAACATATATGCATTTAAAGCGTATTATATCTAGTGTTCCAGTAATACTGGTAGTTTCATTGCAAGCCTTTCAAATACAATTAATTATCACTCTCTCTTATCTTTCACAACAACAGTTGTTTTACTAATTGGACAGCTGGTGAAAAAAATGGGTTAATGGATTGGCATCCTCTGGATTTAAGCCCTTTGCAATCAGACCGTTTTTCAATTTTCTTACTGTTAAGGACCAGCGCTGTTTTTACATTTCTGCTGTGCTTGTGTTTAGCTATAATTTTCCTCTTACTCATTTACGGTACCCGCACATATTATATACAATTTGTCTCGCCATTAAATGGTCTTTCTAAATATATCATTATTTTCATCATATCATATAACTTACTATAAAAAATTATAAAGTATGATAAAACTAATTTTCAAAAACACACGTTTTCTAACTTTGACCCCCAAAATCTGTTACTCATCTACAACCGCCAAAAACCACCCATGCTAAATAGTTTCTAAATTTTGTCATGATTTTAGAAATACCCAATGTTAACATGTTCTTAGCTTTTTTTTTTTTTTGCAAGTTATAGGGCTATAAGTACATGTAGGACATTGCTGTTTCAAAATATATATTTTTAAAATTTATCAATAGTGACATTGTAACACTGTTATCTGTCATAAATCTCTGAATCACACCTCACATGTACATATTTGTTAAAGTTGTCCAAGGTATTCAATATGGGGTATGTCCAGTCTTTTTTAGTAGCCATCGTATTATTTTTATTTATTTATTTATATATACATATATTTCATTCTAAGTGTATTTTAAAATAAATATATGTTAATATTAAAATACAGTTAGAATAAAATTACATATATATATATAATTTTTTAACTTTTTTAATTATTTTAATAAAAATGTATTCTTAATTCATTATAATTTATTTTTTATAATAGTCTATATATATATATATATACACACAATATAGTTATATATATATATATATTATATATATGTAATTTTACGCTAAGTGTATTTTTATATTAATATATGTATATATTAATAAAAAATACACTTATCATGATGTTATATATATGCTCTTTCAGCAGGCCTGTGGGGGGCCTAATTGGGAGCAACACCGTTCGCAGGCGGGGGAACGGCAGCGATCAGGTAAGTATTAAGGAATTCCACAGAAGTACTAGGTACTTCCGCGGTCCTTAAGGACGATTTTTGTCGGATGTACCTAGTACGTCTGTGGTCCTTAAAGGACCACTATAGTGCCAGGAAAACATACTCGTTTTCCTGGCACTATAGTGCCCTGAGGGTGCCCCCACCCTCAGGATCCCCCTCCCGCCGGGCTCTGGGTAGAGGAAGGGGTTAAACACTTACCTTTCTCCAGCGTCTGGCGGGGAGCTTTCCTCCTCCTCTCCTTCTTCCTAGCGACGTCATTGGCAGGAGCCATGCGCGCATTCAGCCAGTCTCATAGGAAAGCATTCATAATGCTTTCCTATGGACGCTGGCGTCTTCCCACTGTGATTTTCACAGTGAGAAGCACGCAAGCGCCTCTAGCGGCTGTCAATGAGACAGCCACTAGAGCCTTTAGAGGCTGGATTAACCCTCAGTGTAAACATAGCAGTTTCTCTAAAACTGCTATGTTTATTTAAAAAAAAAAAAGGGTTATTCCTATCTGGACCTGGCCTATAGTGGTCCTTTAATGGCTTAATGAACTACAAATACTTGTTAACATCCATTAATTAATCATTAAACAATCATGCAGTTTGTTAGTAATTTCGAGTAGGTTTAGAAAAACCTCAAAATAGAAACAGGCAAAGCAGGAAATGGAAAAAAGTTGCTAGTGTAATCATCAGGGTGACTTCCGAATAGATGGGAAAATTAAAAGTTTGGCGTTGGCTAGTACCTAACTGCAGCATGGAACAAGCTGTATTGCCAAGGCAATGCGGGCAGGTTTGCTCAAGTTTCATTAAATAATCCCAACTTCCAGTTGTTCTTGTCTTACATTTGCATACATCTGTGCACAGATACATATTGCACTCGCTTGCAACCTAAGCCTGTGTCATCTATATATGAAATGGCACTGAAATATATGAATGAAAACCAGGAAATGATAATGATGATCCATGTGAAACCCTGAATGTCAGGCATGGGGCCTTGTTGTAAAATCAACACTTACCGGTAGTCTCTGCTTTGGAAGGAAATTAAGGCTTATTTCCAACTGACTCAACTTTTAATTGTATAGAATTTAAATTTCAATTTTAAAATGTTATGCTTAAATAGCATATATGAAAAAAATTAATAACACTGTACCCCAAGCCCTTTCCCATGGTAACTGGCAAGTCTATTGGTTTAAAATAACCCTCAGATAAAATATTTAAGTTTAACATTGCTGGATTAGATTGTTAAATGTTTTAAACATTTGACATTCGAACGAAGATTTTTGCAATGCAATCCAATGTAAACATTTTTGTTTCAGATAATTCCCTATTGGAAAAAGTATATCTATTGGAGTGGATATGATATATGAAGAATGAAATCAAAGTACAATAACAACATGCAGTGTATGGAACAAAAAAAAGAAAAAAAGAAAAGCAAACTACCATATGTTATTTGAATTTCAGCATCACTAACGTTTATTTCTTGCATATGTTTTCAGTTTGTTCCTCAAAGTAAATAACTCCATGGTCTCACTACCTGTTTCACATTAAAGGGTCACTATAGTCACCAGAACAACTACAGCTTATTAAATTTGTTTTGGTGAGTAGAATCATTACCTTCAGGCTTTTTGCTGTAAACATTGTCTTTTCAGAGAAAATGCAGTGTTTACATTACAGCCTAGTGATAACTTCACTGGCCTCTCCTCAGATGGCTGTTAGAGATCCTTCCTGGGTCATGGCTGCCTAAAATGCATCCCAACATTAAGTATCTCCTCCCTCTGCATGCAGACACTGAACTTTCCTCATAGAGTTTCATTGATTCAATTCATCTCTGTAAGGAGATGCTGATTGGCCAGGGCTGTGTTTTAATCATGCTGGCTCTGCCCCTGATCTGCCTCTTTTTCAGTCTCAGCCAATCCTATGGAGAAGCATTGTGATTGGATCAGGCCACTACTTTTGATTATGTCAGCAGACAGCTTGTTTTTCTGAGGCAAACAGAATGCAGAGCTACAGCTTCAGGCTTGAATACAAGTAAGATTTTGCTATATTTAAGGAGGCATGAGGGGCCCAGGGGGGCTAGAGTGTGGTTTTAACACTATAGGGTCAGGAATACATGTTTGTTCCTTTAATTACATGATTCTGTTAGAAATTATTTTAAATTACTAGCACAGTACATGTGTACATGGCAAATGATTTAGATAAACTAGAAAAATGGTCAGAATTGTGGCATTAAATGTGAATAAGTGCATGATAATGCATCTTGGACGTAAAAACCCAAGGGCAGAGTACAAAATATTTGATAGAGTCCTAACCTCACCATCTGAGGAAAGGGATTTAGGGGTGATTATTTCTGATGACTTAAAGGTAGGCAGTCAATGTAATAGAGCAGCAGGAAATGCTAGCAGAATGCTTGGTTGTATAGGGAGAGGTATTAGCAGTAGAAAGAGGGAAGTGCTCATGCCATTGTACAGAACACTGGTGAGACCTCACTTGGAGTATTGTACACAGTACTGGAGACCGTATCTTCAGAAGGATATTGATACCTTAGAGAGGGTTCAGAGAAGGGCTACTAAACAGGTTCATGGATTGCGGGATAAAACTTACCAGGAAAGGTTAAAGGATCTTAACATGTATAGCTTGGAGGAAAGACGAGACAGGGGGGATATCATAGAAACATTTAAATACATAAAGGGAATCAACACAGTAAAGGAGGAGACTATATTTAAAATAAGAAAAACTACCACAACAAGAGGACATAGTCTTAAATTAGAGGGACAAAGGTTTAAAAATAACATCAGGAAGTATTACTTTATTGAGATGGTAGTGGATGCACGGAATAGCCTTCCAGCTGAAGTGGTAGAGGTTAACACAGTAAAGGAGTTTAAGCATGCGTGGGATAGGCATAAAGCTATCCTAACTACCAGATAAGGCCAGGGACTAATGAAAGTATTTAGAAAATTGGGCAGACTAGATGGGCCGAATGGTTCTTATCTGCCGTCACATTCTATGTTTCTATGTTTTTTTATATGTTTCTATGTTTATCTGTATGTATATCTATAAATACCCAGTGTACTATATTTATTATCTGATAGTGTATGTAAACTCTGAACCCGTTGTTGCAATTATACATTGTATTGGGTAGCTTCTTATATCTGATTTAAGATAACATAATCCATATTAAGTCCTCAGAGTATACATTTTCCAAAAGTCCTTCATTTTCTAAGTCTAGAAATGTTTAATCAAATTGTCACTTAAATTGTTTTGATAAAGTGTACATTTCCTATTCTCCTATAACCCTGACTCTACCAAAAAGTCCACTCTGCAATGTGTTTGTCATTTATCAGCTAGCCTTGGGCCTTGTTATAAAATGATGACAGCTTTTTCCTCCTTTCAAATGACTGTAGCCATTCTAATTTTCTTCTGACTTGTTGTGAACTCATCTGCCTTTGTGATGACGGCCAATCTAGGGAAGGAGCACATGGGAAATAATAGCGATCTTTAGATTTCATGTTTGCAGGAAGGTTTTAAAGCCCTACTGTATCATTTTGTTTGTTTCTGTATGTTAAATGAAGTATTATAATACACTTCATGTGTATACCATATATAAAGATAATATTTATGTCAAATGTCAAAAAGTCATAGCTAGTATCTTAACCTTGTGATGGTTTGGAAAGCTAGCATTAATAATTCCAGACTGAAATTTAAGAAGAATGTGGTTTAGGTATGACAAATGTGATAGATTATTAGCCACTCTGATTATATTACAGAAAGCAAAACGGTTTGCTGGTACGGCTCAGTCTTGTTATTTCTATACAAATGGTGGAATTCTAATTTGTATTTAGAATTAAACTGAATAGTATGTAAGATCTTTTATTGTGATCTTCAAATGTAATGTATTGCATAAAAAACAATTATGACTTCAATGGTTGCGTAGATCTATATTTTTTGTCTAGTTAATCTACTAAGAAATTACATTCAAATGTTGTTTGCCAATATTCCTGCAAATATTGGAATAATGCAGAATTATGTACTCAATTCTTATTTATGTTAAACTTATAAATCAATAGTAAACTTTGCAAATTCTAGGCCAAAATAGTCAAGTTGGGAAAATATTTAAAATTTTGTTATAAATTCTATATTACATTGTATCAAAAGCTACAATTCTTGTCAGTTCTCCAAAATTCACAGTTTATAATTCATCCTCAATATTTTTTAAAAGTGCTAATCTACATTCACTTTAGGCTGGTAATTCATGGAATGATATTGCTTGATATAAAACTAATTGTTATTTATGTTGGTTCACTTTAATGAAAAGCATATCAATATTTGAAGGGATTCTAATGTATTACCTTTTGGAAATATGTTAGCAATTTTTGCATGCTACTAAAATGTTTGCTTACTGTATTCCCAGTGATTCCGATTACTGTTGAATGCATAATGTTCCCGATCACTACGATATAACCATAATCATGATGCGAAAAAAAAATTCAATCATCCCAATCATAAAACTATTCATTTCTATGAAAAATGAAAAAAAAATGCTTCTTGTAATTAAATAATAGAAGCAAAATTTTAAATTAAAACATGAAACAAAGTCTGTAACATAGCCAGTACTCTATCCACAATGGAACGCTCACTTCAATGGAGGGGGCACCTGCGTGCTTGAAAGCACTGGGACTGTGTCCAACCATATCAAGGGGCCAACCCCCACAGTAACCTGGGATCCTGATCGCATCACCCCCTTTATTCCAAGAGCCGAATGCTCAAGGACTCTCAACTCTTGACAACACAAGGGGACTATGTCACACACCAAGATCGGAAGACAGATGGGCACCCAAGGGCCATGCTGACATCTATACAAATATGCTGTTTCTCTTTCTTTTTATGTTAAACATGTCTTTTAGTTATGTTGATTACTTTACTTTTTCTGACAGATAACTAATGTCACACTAGAATATATTTAGCAACACTGCTGTTCCCCTTCCCTCACCCCCATAGCCCCCTAGGTTAGGGGCAACACAAACCGAGGTTTGAAGCATCACTCCTGTAAAGTCACAATGAAAGTGACTTTACCCACTTTGCTCTCCCAATCCCAATAGGGATCCCAAATAGCTACATCCCAAACACCGGGTGTACCCTGGAGAATCATCCTATGTGCGCATATGCTGCACCTCCACAGCCCTCTAGGACTCACTCCTCGAGCATATATCACGCACATACTTACCTATCACATACCTGCTCAGGGCAAATTCTAAGACATTCAAAACAAAACTAAAGTCAATGGAATACCCTTTTCTTACTCAATTGCGACTACTTAACACTCACTACATATCCACCACCACCCAGCTAGTCAGGACTTCTTCACTCGCATATTATTTTGTTTTCACTAATTTAGTTACTAACACACAAAAAATAAATGTGCTGAGGCTTTATAGGCCATGGTATATTCCATGATTCTACCACGCATGAATATGATACCATGGCTTATTTAACATACCTGTTATTATTATTATAAAAAGTGTGCTGTTTCTCATGTCATGACAATATTTCATACCATCTGTTATTGCTGTGCTTGGGACTGCTGTTGTGGCTTCACAAACTTACTTCGTCATCATTCGCACAACAAAAATAAATATAAAAAAAAAAATCCTAAATATAATATCACAGAATATAGTGCACACAGGATTTCGGAGAATAATTTTGTTTTTGTCTATTAAAATACAACAAATTGGTCTTTTTAATTAACTTTCCTTCATCCTGCCTTTCATGCACAAAAAAAATGAAGAAAATAGCAAAATGTGTAAGATTAAATTTGTAAGTATTAGAAAAATGCAAAAGGGATCATCTATAGCTGCATTTGGTGAGGTCTAACCACTTAACTTATAATACCAGATAAATAATATTGTATTATCCATTCCCTTCCATTCTAGAATGAGTTTAGGTCAAACAAAAAAGTTGGAAGCAAACCTGCCAGAAAGGAACCCAAATAGTGTAATACATGTAATAACAGAGACAGACAAAATGGTAAACTAAATAAACTGTATCATATAATATACCGGTACTTTCATATGCATATGAGGATTGGAATGAAGAAACAATATAGCTATGAGTATGTATGGTATATGAGCTATAAGTTGTGTGGGTTTTATATGTTTTTTTGCTGTTTATTTTATGTTATTTTTTTGTAATAGCAGGGTTTGCTTATTTGAAAAAGCAGCTTTTCTGTATGTTATCCTAAATAAGAGTAACACACTACCTAGCATGCAAGATGAATACAATAAAAATTGTAGTATAATGCATGACAAAAATAAACAGCACGTAGATGTTCTTGTTCTATATTCCCCAAACAACTGTTTATGATTGTATGATTATTACCAGCTCTCCTTTCCAAAAAACTGATTTTTTTTTTTAAGAATAAGAATCCAAACATCCAATATTAAAAAGAGCATCTATAACTGCGTTTGGTGATGTTTGACTGTAACAATATGTAGTATTTAATGCAGCCGCCCTGGGCTGAATATCCCGTTAGGCAGAGGAGGCATCTGACCACAGGCACATGCCTGAAGGGGGACACATACTCTACCTCTTAAAAATACCCACCATAACTCTTGTCCAGTGCTAACTGGAACAGAGGTTCCTGGACCCTGGAATCTCTGCATTCAGTCTGAGGGAGTTTGATCTGTGCATGGCTCCACCTGAACATAGGATCTCTTTAAGGGAGAGGGGAGAGGACTGACACAGGGAAGTGAAATGACTGGGGCCAGAATTGTCAGCAAGAAATAATAAGTACATAAACCCACACATACTGCTAGAAAGAGAGTCTCTAATTGGCTATTTAGGTGTCCACCTAAGGCCTCACACTGTGTGGGGCCTCGTGGCCCCCTAAATCACCATAGATCGGGTCTTTGGTTTGTGACCGAAGGCCCGACACCAGAAGGGGGCCCGGCGGCTTTCCCTGTATGCCGCTGGGCATGGTACCACTCCATTCACTCTGCCCTTAAGAGAGAACCAGCACCTCCTCCATTATGCAGCTTTGCGGACTGCAGAGCTGCAGACTGTGAAGTAGGTGTCTCTCAATCTCAGACAATCTGAGCTTAGCTGCAGGTTACCACAGCAACTCTCTTAAACTTCTGGAGATCGCAAGAAACTTACTACGCTGAGCTACAGACAGGAGAGCAAGCCCACCGTAACGCAAATTAGAGAAACCACTGGACCACCAGGGAATTGATTAACAAAGAAAAAAGGTATTTATGACAGTACAACCACCTCCACACACATTTCCATCCCTTCCACATACTGTCACCTCCTCCACACACTGTCACCCCCTCCACACACCCTGTCACTCCTACACACAGTCTGTCACCCTCTACATACTCTCTCACCCCCTCCGCCCACACTGTCACCCACTCTACACTCTGTCACCTCCTCCACATACATTGTCACCATTTCCACACACAATATCACCCCCTCCAGTCTGTTACTCCCTCCACACACACTTTGTCGCCCTCTCCACAAACACTCTCTCACCCCACTCCACACACTCGGTCACCACCCTCCACTCTCTGTCACCCCCTTTCACACACACTGTCACTGAACTCTGGAATCTCTGTATTCAGTCTGAGGGAGTCTGATCTTTGCAATTGGCAGAGAGGGCTTGAAGTGGGGATGATATGGAACTGTAGTGGCAGGTAAAAGAGGTGGGCACAGGGGCTTTATACTGGGAACAAGAGCTGCAGTGAGGGGGGCAGGAGCTTTGGTGAGGGCACAGGGCACAGGGGCTGTAGAGGTGTGTGAGCACTAGGAGCATCAGTTGGCGGAGGCACCCGGCCATGGTGCCACGTGGTCTGTCACGTACCCTTTTATTGCAAAGCACTGTGGAATAAGCTGGTGCTATATACATACCAATAATAATAATAATGTTAAATAAATGGACTGCTACATAAAAAAATCTGTGAAGCACACAGTACCAATAATGGCCCAAGAAGTGCCTTTCTTCAGTTATATAAAAATTTCAATGAGACATCTGCCTTTATTGTAAGTAACATTTGTCTAATTCATAAGGAAGGGCTTTAGAGGTTCTGTGATTTTCATAATTAGTGATATTTCTTTTTTAAGGTTTTACATATTTTTTTGTATTGGGAAATAATGTCTGTGCATGCATTGAGCCTTGTGTGATGGTGCTCTTAATCATAAATAACACATTAATTTTACATACAAACTTACTGCAATAAACATCAAAGGAAACATCTACGTTTTGACATAAGGAATGAGCCAAAATTTTAAGAGAATACATTTCATCTTGTTCTTACTTTGTAACCACTTTACCCAGAAACTTAGGCGGCAGTTATATGGAGACAACTAAAATATCTTGGCAAGTTCATGTAGAAGACAGATTACAAGGCACATATGTTACAGCCAGGACCGGACTGGGACAAAAAAATCAGCCCAGGCAATTAAAGGCAGATCAGCCCACTGAGACACCC